GGCAGTAATGGCGACTGGATCGCTGCCAGAAATGATCAGATCATCAACGTAAACAAGAACATGTAAACTCAATGAGTCACGATGAAAAACAAACAGTGAGTAATCAGAACAAGACTGCTGAAAACCATACTGCCGTAGAGCAGAAGCAAGCTTCGCAAACCAACACCGAGGAGCTGAGCTTGCTTCAAACCATACAAAGATCGGCGTAATCGACACACCTACCAGGATCAGGCGAATGAAAACCTGGAGGAAGTTTCATGTAGACCTCCTCTGACAAATCTCCATGCAAGAATGCATTGTGCACGTCCATCTGATGGACTTCCTAATGTCGAGCAGCTGCAACAGCAAGAAAAGTCCGTACTGTAACCATCTTGGCGACAGGTGCAAATGTCTCCTGATAGTCAATTCCCTCCACCTGCCGGTTACCCAAGACAACCAAACGCGCCTTGTAGCGCTCAGCAGAACCATAAGAGTTATATTTAATCTTGTAAATCCATTTGCAACCAATTGCGTGTTTCCCAGTAGGAAGAGAAACAATATCCCAAGTATGGTTCAATTCCAATGCTCGAATCTCCAGTTGCATAGCCGAACACCAACGACTATCTCGAACAGCCTCAGAAAAAGTTCGAGGCTCAACAACAGAAGAAATGGCTGCCAGAAATGACTTATGCGCAGATGAAAAAGAATCACAAGAAACATAGTGTGCGAGAGGGTAAGGAGTACCAGACGATGACCTGATTGAGGAGGTAGGGTGGGGAGACGAGGAACAAAAGTGTGAGAGACAAAATCGGCAAGACGGGAAGATGGCCTCTTAAGACGATGACCACGACCCAACAATTCCTCTTGGGGAGGATTACCCCCTATCAATATTGGCTTCAGAACCCCCAGTGTTAGCGGTACGCCTCGTGATGGGAACCACAACATTATCATCATCGTCAGAAACAGCAGGCCATGGAACCAGAGGTACGGAAGCAGTGTCAGGAGCACGAGACATCAAATAAGGGAACTCTGATTCACAGAATTTCACATCACGTGAGACCTGAAAAGTGCGGTTGTCCAAATCATAAACACACCACCCCTTTTGACTAGATGGATAGCCAACAAAAACACATCGACGACTCCGACTTGCAAACTTGTCACCTTCCCTGTTCTGATTGTGCACGTAACACAAACAACCAAAAACACGTAAGTGCGCATAGTTCGGAGGTTCTCCATACAAAAGTTCATAGGGAGTCTTGCCGGATAAAAGAGGAGTAGGCGTTCGATTAATCAGATAGCCAGCAGCAAGTACACAATGTCCCCAGAACTCAATCGGTAAATGGGCTTGAAAGCGTAATGCTCGAGCAACATTAAGAATATGCCGATGTTTGCGCTCAGCACGTCCATTTTGTTGAGGAGTTCCGACACATGAGGTTTCATGAACAATCCCCCGTTGACGGAAATAATCACGCATACGAGTAAATTCAGTTCCATTGTCACTGCGAACAGTTTTAACCAACACACCAAATTGCCTTTTTACAAAAGCGAAAAATTGCAGTAAAGTAGAAGACACAGAAGATTTGTCATCCAATAAGAAAATCCAAGTACCGCGAGAATAGTCGTCAACAATAGTCAGAAAATATCGAGCACCACAAAAGGCAGGAACTCTATACGGTCCCCACACATCACAATGAATCAGACTGAAAATGGAACTGGCAACACTTCGACTAAGAGGAAAGCTAGCACGAGATTTCTTAGCCCGACAGCAAACATCGCAAGTTTTATTCGAGACCAAAGAATGAGATTCAACAAAAGGCAACTGACCAAGAACAGTAGAAGAGGGATGACCCATCCGCTGGTGCCACAAGTGTTGCATAACCGAAGACACCCGAGAAGCATTGACAACGATCTCTCCTCGGAAAAAATAGAGCCCCCCCAACTGGTCACCCGCTCCAATAACCGTCCTCGAAGTGAGGTCCTGAATAACACAATATTTACTAGTGAAGGTAGCAACACATCCAGATTGTTCCAACAACCGAGATAAAGATATCAAGCTGCACTGCAGACTGTCAACGAATAAAACATCATATAAAATAATACGTGAACCAAGATGAACAGTTTCAGCCTTACACGCAGTGGTGAGCGTGCCATTAGGTAACTGTACAGACCGGGACGGAATATCCCGAATATCAGAAAAAAATTCCAAGTAGCCTGTCATATGGTGAGAAGCAC